ATTCTCGTCATCCTCTATTGCCTCAAGATCGTAGCCTGAGTACTAGTTAGCAAGGAATACCCAAAAGACTTACAAGCCTTATTCGCTACCTTACGCTAACGCTAAGGCGCTCATAACACTTGTTGTTCTTGATGTTCTGCATTGCCATTGTATGTTGTGGAGGATACTGGTAGCTCTGAAAAAATTTGAGGCACATAAGATCATGTATTATATTGGATCTATCAAAACAGATTGGCATCTGAGAGGCCATAAGTATTTTCTGAGCCCAACCTATGAAAAGTGTCCCAAGGAGTGCTTGAGCACTGTAGAGAATGACAAGGAGAGTGAACCAAGTTGAAGGGTACAGCTAATGTACTGTATTGTTTAAGTAGATAAGCTGGGGAATACAGATATATCTAGCTGTCCTTATATAAAAAGTCAGGATTAGATAATGAGGACAAGGCCATGAAAGGCTGTGGGGATATAAATAGACTATAATGGAGCCAGTCATGCCCAATGAACAAGAAGGATGTAATAATGACCCTAAAATAAAATATTGTGAAGGTTTGGTGGGGTTATTCTGGGAGTTCAACAGTGTAATAATAAGCTGAGACAGTCATTTATAGAATCCAAGACTTAGATAGAGGAAAAATACATAAGGAGATATCCATGGACACCAGAAGAATTGAACTCCTTCCCTCTTACAAGCTTACTGATGTAATGCTAAGCGAGTGTGATAACCAACTACACCAGGTGCCCAGTGAAAATTATGGCTAAATTTACCATCTGTAACATAGTAGATGAATTGAGAAAAGTGAGCACCACTATATTTCCCCAAACAAAGAACAGAGCTGTGAAGGAATTTGGTTGCCTATTGCCATAATAGTTCACAAGTTATTATACTTCAATTCCACCATAAGCATACCTTTGGGCTGGAAAAATTTATGGCATGCCTGCAGTGTTAGTAGATTGCAAAACAAGGCTGTTCTAGAATCAGGCGTCACCAGGACTCGAACCTGGGTTATCGGAATTTGGATCACGTGATGGCACGTGATCCATCAGGCACGTGACACATCAAAATCCGATGTGATAGGACCGCTACACTACGATGCCTTTGGCGAACGACGATCCGTTAATCCCTATGACACCGTCAAGTCCCTACTGGAGGTATCCTGGGTGGAAGATTGGGATGTGGTCTGGAGGAACCTTGGGAACATAGGATTCCGGTCAGTTGGTGGTTCGCGCTGGATGGGCCGCCGGCAGGACTCCAGAAAAGGAAGCGCTATAACGCCCAGTAATCGGAATGACGGCAGGTGAGCGTGACAAGGCATCCGGGTTTCGTTGTGGCAGACATAGAATGGCCGGCAAAGGTGGAACATGCACATAAGAAGAGTAAATCCTTGCACAAGCCAAAGGATGTCGCGTCGAGTCAAGAAAGAGCTCAAAGTCGGTCCCACAGAGTGGTTCCGCTTGTCCGGTTGAGGCTAGCTGCGGTCAACAGCAAAGGGTCTCAGCCATCGCTGAGAGTTTACAGAACCCGAGAAATCTGGTTCTTGAAACAAAAAGATGTGCCCGAGTTCTCACCGACGTCGCGAGATCGCTCTAGCAGGGATTGTCGAGGAAGAGGATTGACAGAGAAGGCCTGGAAAGGCTCGTCACAAGAACAGAAAAGAAGGTCTGGCGTCGTCGCTAAATGTAGCGGTGAGAGTTCCAGATAGAAGGGATGGCACTCAAATGGCCCGTGCGCAAAGCCCAGGGTCGGAAGAAGGAGGTGATATTCGCGTGACGGTGACAGTAACAAGTCGGCGTGGTTTTCTGTTGTTGACCCCCATATTCTTCTCTGTCTACGGTTCTCATCGTTGGCCTTTGCGTTGCCTTTTGCTCCTTATTTCTGAGCTCGGGCAGTCGTGAATTCCAGGATAATTTTTATATTTATAAAGAGATACGCGCCATCTTAGGAATCTTTCCTCCTAGGATTGTCAATTTGGAGATTCGTTAGGCCGTTGGCTACCATTTTGCTGGCTTGCTTTCCGCTTTTCAAACCCTCCTTTCTTTGTGCGTGTCCTTTTTCCAACTCACCCACACTCGTTTGTCTGGAATTCCAATTCCCTCTCGCCCCAACCCCGTCGCTCCCTATTTTTTCTACGCTCTCTAACTCGACGCCTTATTTTTTTGTCCTTTTTCTCCTCAATTTCCGCCGTTGCCCGCTTCTCCCATCCATTTCATTCCCGTATCCCCCACAAACAAATATCCCCCTTGTCTCGCCATGATGGACACGCAGACCCCCTTCGACCCACAGTATTCGTACGGGTTTGACCTGGACATGATGAAGGTGAGCATGACCTGGCAACTCGGACTACCTTCGTCTTCTGACCACATTTCCTAGAGGTCTATGGATTCCGTCGGTGGTCCCGAGGCCAAAAAGGCCAGGTGGTCTCCAACTTCGTTCGCTAACGTGAATGGCATGTCCTCTACCGCCCCCTCAAATCGCGACGCTTTTGCCAACTATGGCTATGGTCCCAACGCAAGCATTTCCCAGGCTGCATACAATAACCCCCCGCCCTCCGCCGGTTTCAGTAACCCACTCTACTCGACGCCATCTCTCAGCATCAACACCGCCAACGCTCAACAGATGCAAGGGATGCAATCCCAAATGAGCCCAAATACTGCCGCTGCGTTCGCTCAGCAACAGCAGCAGCAACCTTCCCCCATCAACGGAAATTACGGATTTGGTGGCTACAATATGCTCGGAATGGGATTGCCAGGAATGGGTGTTCTTGGTGGATTCCCATATGGAGCTCAAATGGGTAACTTTGCTCAGGTGTGTGAACAATAAGAATATGTGCCCACCTGTTGGGATAATGACTGACTGCGCCACATGTAGAATTTCAACCAGCAACGTATGCCGTCTCTTAACCTCAACATTCCCGCCGTTCAAGCAGCGCAGTATTCGCCACAAGCCCTCAGCGCGGCACTCAACGCGGCGAACAACAACGCCACTGCACGAACTGTCTACGTCGGCAACCTCCCTCCGACCGCCTCAGTCGATGAACTGCTTAACCTCGTCCACTTTGGTCCTCTTGAATCAGTCCGTGTACTCCCCGAAAAGTCATGCGTTTTCCTCTCCTTCCTGGATGGCCACACCGCTGCGGCTTTCCATGCCGACGCGACAATAAAGAAACTGGCTCTTCATGGACAGGAGTTAAAGATTGGCTGGGGAAAGCCGTCGCCAGTACCCGCTCAAGTCACCCTTGCAATTCAGCAGAGCAATGCGAGCAGGAACGTGTATCTAGGTGGCTTGGATGAGTCTATGACGGAGGAGCAGTTGAGGGATGACTTGAGCCGCTTCGGTTTGATTGACCAGGTCAAGATCGTTCGGGACAAGAATATTGGCTTCGTCCATTTCTTGAGCATCACGACCGCTAACAAGGTGCGCCCCATATGATTTGTCTTTTTACACTGCCACCTCACGACCATCCCCCTCAAGGTCGTTAACCAACTTCCCACCGAACCTGCCTGGGCTGGCAAGCGAGTCAACTACGGCAAGGATAGATGCGCATACATCCCGAAATCTCAGCAAGCCGCTGCTCAAGCGGCACAGGCGGCAGCAGCACAGTCCCTCGTTGCTCAATCAGCTGGTGTCCCACAAGCCAGCCCCTTCGCCTCCCCTTTCAGCCCTTACGTCCCATTCTCGCCCGATAATAATGCCCTTCAGTCCATGACTGGCGCAGGGGGGTTGAATAGGACTGTCTATTTGGGTAATATCCACCCTGAGACTAGTACTGAGGATTTGTGCAATGCGATCAGGGGTGGCGTACTCCAGAGTATCAGATATATGCCTGACAAGCACATTGCTGTGAGTGGATGTTCTTATTGACGTGGTCGCGGCGCTGACGTTTCACCAGTTCGTGACGTTCATCGATCCCGCCGCGGCACTAACGTTCTTCCAAGTTGCCTCATACCAAGGCTTGACTTTGAACAACCGCCGGCTGAAGATTGGTTGGGGAAAGAACCCCGGTTCGCTCCCTCCATCACTTGCGCTGGCAGTTCACGGCGGTGCTACGAGGAACGTCTATATCGGCAATATCGAGGACTTCGAGACGTTCGGGGATGAAAAGTTGAAGAGGGATTTCGGTGAATATGGTGATATCGAACTGGTTAATTTCTTGAAGGAGAAGTGAGTGTCCTTGTCATCGTTGATCACGACCAACTCTGAGCATCTTTACCCCCACTCAGGAACTGTGCGTTCGTCAACTTTACGAACATCCAAAACGCAATCAAGGCAATTGAGGGAATCAAGAACAAGCCTGACTATGCGAACTTGCGCATCGCTCACGGCAAAGATCGGTGTGCTAACCCGCCTCGTCAGGGTCCTCAGGGTGGTATGAGGAGGACAGCGAGTGGGAACGGCGCGAGTTCTGGCGCGAACGCAAACGGTGATGGAGGCGAGGGTGAGGGTTATGGCGAGGTGGATCATGAGGCCCACGCGTTGGATGGGCAGTTACACGAGTCGGAGGAGGGAGCATTCGAAGCTGTACCTGCCGCTTCAGATGTCAAGGTTGAGGAGCCCGCGAACTAATCGCATCCTCATCGCTCGACGTTGCTCCCTCGTCATTCCTGAGCTCTTTGTTACCCCAGCCATTCGACGACGCCAATGGCCTTTGAATACCCCTCCTTTGCTATTTCCCTCCCTGTTCATACGTGACGCCACAGCCTTTCTGGGACCACAAGGCGACGACAAAATTTTCGAGAAAATTTATTACCAACAAATGGATGGGGCGAAAATTGGGTGTCGGATCTTGTCCGCATGCCTGCCGTTTCGTTCCTCGACTGCTGTTCGTGCGCATTGCGGACCTTTGGGCTATTGGTTGTCACTCTCTTTATCAACTTGACTTTCACTCTCATCCCCTCGTCTTTTTCTTTATTCTCAATATGTTTATCATCCTTTCTTTTGCGTTTACCCCGGGCTATCCTTCGTGTGCCCCCCCTCCCGCTCATTACTGGCCCCCTCGTACTGTATGTCATACCAAGTAAACAACAACCCTGTGTCTCCTGATGCTCGGATCGCCTACTCGTACTACTACTCTTTGGAACGGACTCCGTGTAAAGATGCTACTGGCGATATAATTTTCCCTCCCCGTCTACTCTGTCTACGTATCATACGACCTCGCCATTTGCACTTGTCAGTACAATGTACCCGATGTGTTTGATCAATCTGATACGTTTCCACATCCATAAGCGAGGGAATAACGGCGGTTGGGTTATTTATTCATGAAGACTGAGTAAGGATTAGGTATTATCTACGATAGGCGATAGAACATGGAAGGCAGACATTGGTCATGCTGGGGTGGATGGCGCATCCATCCCCTCCAGCTCCCTCACAAGTTCATGTAATCCCAACTCTTCCTCGATCTGGCAACGCCTCAGAGCGAACCCGATTATGAGGAGTAAGGAGGTGCTCACCTGGAACTTTATCTCCTGATCCTCCCGACCTGCACTCGACCTAAACAACTTGTCGATCTCTTCAAGGGACACATTGGCCGTTTCGGGTACGACGTAGGTGGACCAAATGTATCCGACGAAACATGCCACTGAGAAGGTTAGGAACGTCCCTCTACAAGTTCCAACCAGTCAACATTAATGCAAGGCGAATGAGAGCAGGGAGATCGTACGCGGGAGAAGTTTGCATCAACGCAGGTGTGACCAGCCCAATGAGAACTACAACAGTGATTCAGAACTCATCAGACACAGGCACTTGTGCAAAGAGTGAAGGGGGGACGTACAATTATTCGTCCAATTCGAAGCTGTACTGAGAGATACGCCTTTACTCCTCATAGAAAGTGGGAACACCTCGGTAATTAGGCACCAAGCGATGGGACCGTACGAGACTCCGTATGAAGCTGTGAAGATGTATACGAATCTGTCAAGATGTGAGTGATCACTCACTAGTCGGGGAGGTGGGGGAGGGAGGTACGTACGCCACTGCTATCCATGCTGCTGATTGATGCGATGACCAGTCGTTCGAAAATTGATAGACCTAGTTTTCCCCGAAGAAAGTTAGGTGCAAGATCAAGAATGGAGGAAGCTGAGTGACTGACCACTAATGCGATGAC